CACCTAAATGCAAAGCTGCCCTCTTTTGTCTTCATCACACTTGACTGTTGAGAATGTCCTCGTCTTGAAACCCTGTCTTCCTCCGGTTTTCATCAGACAGCTTCTTCCTGCTTTTCCTTCTGCCTAATTCCCCAGCTGTTTCTTCTCCGTCTCTTCGGGAAGACTCCTCTTTCTCTCCCTGACCCGTTCATATTGATGTTTCCAGAGTTACATCTTCAGATCCCCGTTCTTCTCAACTCTATAAATTTTCCCTGAAAAACTTCATTAAAACTATAGATTCAGCTACCATTTACATGCTAAGGATGCAAGAAATCTGTATCTCCAGCAGAGATCTTTCTCCTGAGCTCCCAACCTACGTACCTACTGCCTCCATTTGAGAGACATCTCCATCTGAATATTACTTCATTCCCAATCTTCACTTCTACCAGTGTAACCTCATTATCTTCACCTCCATCATCATTACCCCCCACCCCCTGAGATTATACTTCTTCCCAGGTATTTCCTGTTTAGGGCAATGGCTAAGGAGCCCAAGTCAAACAGCCTGGGAGCCAACAGACTTCCCACTTTCTTCCGTGATTCCCACCTACAGTGGCTCCTCAAATCCATCCAAGAAACTTTCTAAACCTCTTAGCGTCCCCACCTCTCTGCCCCCCAATAACACCTTAGTATTAGACTCTCCTCATTTCTTGCTAGGATAACGGCAGTCACCCCCTGCCTGATTCACTCTCTCCTGCAACACCCGTGCCATGTTGCTACCAGGATGGCCTTCCTAAAATTAAACCACGGCTGCCCAGAGCCCTCAGAACAGTGTTTGAATTTCTTATCATAACATCTGAGATGCCTCTTGAGGTGGCCCTGCCGACTTCTCCTGCCGCATTCTCCTCATGCTCATACATCTGGATTCTGAAGTCCCTATAACATGCCATGTGCTCTCACTTGTTTTTTTCAAGAGCCCTTCCATCTTCTGGAAAGCCCTTACCTCCACTCCACCTGACTGGTTCTTTTCCTTTCAGGACACAGTTCAAATATTATCTCTACAGAAAGTCATTTCTAAATACCTTACACCTCTCACCACCACCCACCCTACTGAAGTGAGGTCACCCTCTCCCAGATTCCGCAAACATCTTAGCATATCCCTAACATGGCTGTGTTGTAATTGCAGGTTTACTTCTCTGCCCCCACCCCTCCCCTCCCATGGCAGTCTGAGGGCTGAGCAGTGTTTGTGGAGTCACGGCTTTCATCACACTAATCCCAGGGCCGCCATCTCTAGCTATAGCATGCCCGAGAAATGCTTACCTCCTTCTCCTCTCTGAAGACCCAGATTACCAGGTATCTCTGAGAAGCTCCGCACAATGGCCCTAATCATACTTCTTCTGCCTTCCCCAAACTTGCAATTGTGGAAACGATAATGGTTTACAGTTACTTATCATACTTATAAATAAGACACAGTGATCTCTCTCTATATATATTATTGCATTTAATCCTCGAAACAACTCATAAATGAGGTGTGGTTATTTTTCTCACTTTACAGATGAGGAAGTTGGGAATGGGAGAGGGTAACCTGCCTCAGCATCACACAACAAGAAAGCCGCAGAGCTGTCCCACTCACACAGCTGTGCCCTCTGCTGCTTTATCTCCAAAACACTGAGAAAGGAAAGTATGCAATTAATAGGTCAGGCTTCCTGCCTACATAATCTGCACTCCCAGTGCACACAGTAGGCCCTCAATAAATCACTGCTGTATGAATGAAAGAGTATGTGTGTTTCTGCCACAGCTTATGAGTTCCTTGAGAAATAGGATGTTGCTTTTCATTCCTTGTCTCCTCCACACCAAACATCGTACCAGAAACATGGTAGTTACTCAATAAATACATCAAACTGGATGAAAATGAATTCAATATTGTATAGTGAGCCTGTTATAAATGGATCAATTGGAGAATTTCCAGTGACATAACTACTCTTGAAACGTGAGCCTTTGAAAGCTCCAAGTCCTTGTCAACATGTTTGCTGCTTTGAGGGACCGACGAGGCCCAGTGTGAGAACAGCCAGCTACCCCTCTTCATCCTCATGGAGATGAGGGCTGGTTTTGCAAGGGGTATGTGAAGAGGGTTGAGAAGGGCTTGCTCCCCCTACTCCTTGCAACTTTTTCTGTTTCATCCATCCAAGAATTAAAGTTTATGCCTAGTTGTTACTCTAACATCAAAAACAGCTGCCAGGGGTAGGCGTGTGGGGAAGATACAGCTCAGTGGTACAACGTGTGCTTAGCATGCACAAGGTCCTAGGTTCAATCCCCAGTACCTCCGTTAAAAATAAATAAATAAACCTAGTTACCTCCCCACCCTCCCCCCAGAAAGGTCATCGTAGACAACTGTTAGAGCTGTTCCTACCTTCTGTGTAGCCACTTTATTTTAGCTCATATATTCTCTCTGCCACCCCTTACCCCCAGCGCCGGCCCCGTGCTGTTTCCTAGGCAACACACGTGTGGTGCTGAGAAAGAAACCCTGCCTGTGCTTTGTCTCGTGGATGGGAATGTCCAGTGGTGGCCTCTGAGGACCCCCTTCCAGGGGTGTGCTCACTCCTTCACCTCTGGCTCCCACAGCT